CCTACTCCAACACCTTCTCCCCTCCTCCTCCTTCATCACCTTCTCCCCTCCTCCTCCTCCTCCTCCTCCTCCTGCACCCTACTCCTCCTCCATGACCTTCTTCATTCGATCTCCATCACCTTCTTCGTTCGATCTCCATCACCTTCTCCGCTCCTCCTCCTCCCCCTCCTCCTCCTCCCCCTACTCCATCACCTTCTCCCCTCCTCCTCCTACTCCAACACCTTCTCCCCTCCTCCTCCTCCCGCTCCTCCTCCCACTCCTCCTCCCCTCCTCCTCATCTCCCCCTACTCCAACACTTTCTCACTCCTCTTCCTCCTCCTCCTCCTCCTCCTCCTCCTCCTCCTCCTCCTCCATGACCTTCTTCATTCGATCTCCATCACCTTCTCCTCCTCCTCCCCCTACTCCAACATCTTCTCCCCTCCTTCTCCCCTCCTCCTCTCCTCCTCCTCCTCCCCCTACTCCAACACCTTCTCCCCTCCTCCTCCTCCTCCTGCCCCCTACTCCTCCTCCATGACCTTCTTCATTCGATCTCCATCACCTTCTCCGCTCCTCCTCCTCCTCATCCCCCCTACTCCAACACCTTCTCTCCTCCTCCTCCCCCTCCTCCTCCCCTCCTGATGCCATAGCAGCATCCCACGGGTCCGGGAATAATTGTTCAGGTGAATAATTTGTTCAGGTGCTGGATCTCTCTATACACAGTCCAAATTTGGGTGAAATCGGACAATTGGTTCCAGAGATATACCCATTACAATCATTGACATGGCGCCATATGTACATTCACTTCATTATTATTTGACCCCCACCCCCTCCAAAGATCGTCATGTAGCACACTCCCGAACCGACAATTCATTAGTACACTCTCACTAAACTTATTCCGTAGGTATTTGTCTATCAGAATCTGATGTCAAAACAATTGTGTAGTGGGGGTGCTACGTGAACGATTTTTTCTGGGTTCTGCTACTGGACTATATGGACTCTTGATAAATATACACACGCACATCTAACGAGGTACTGACAGGCTGGTGTATCTACTCTCGACCAGGACCGCCCTTGTGTTTATTAGTTTGGGCGTGCATGTATGGTGTACACCGGCTTTCAGACAATAAGCCGGTCCATCTCTTCATTCTATATCTTATTGCTCTGAACTGTCATCTTACGTTTTCTTTATTCCGTCTCTGTATAATAATGCTGCCGCTATATGTTATTAATAAATTAGACATATAACCACACGCGTACAACTTCTCCTTCATCATTTCTCTTTGTGTTTTCTACCCTGTGGCCCATACTGTGTGTAGAATGATAACGATGGTTCAATAAAGACATACCACGCCCTTTTCATATAGCGAAACAGCTTTATAAGCCTGGGTAAACCCCTTGTCGTGAGTACGGGTGACTGTAAAACGGTTATGGGTGCGAACGGGTTATCACAGTTGTTCGACGTTATTATACTATACGTTATATCTGCCTTGAGTGCCTTCTAATGGTATTGAACGGACGGGAGACATCAATCCCCTTTAATTTGTCGACGCGTTCACACATCGCCTGTTCAGAAACGAGTGTTTGATTATCATGATCATGATTGATCATATCTGTGTATTCTCGATAGTTATCTTATTAGATAGATATCGAACATTGTGTCCGTTTTTACAATCGCTGGGATGTATTAAGATAGCCTCTGTTTTGGCCTACTGTATAAGCTGTATATTTCGCGGTGATTTAATTTTCGCGAATTTCGCGAACGCGTCCCCGACGCGAAAATAACAACACGCGAATAATTCATACCGAATAATTCATAATTCACCGACCGCAAAATTAACCACTCGCGAACTCTGAATTCGCGAAAACATCTGTACGCGAAAAATATGGCGTATACAGCACAAGATGGGAATAAAACAGCGAGATATAAAAGAATAAAAGCTCCCTGTAGCTCCCGGTGAGAAAGAAAGTTGGCGATATCAGGTTATCTATATTGTTTCTATGGTGACCCCACTCCGTACGTGGGACTGGGATGTGGCTGAGATTGCCCCTGCGTCTATAAAATGGATATGTTTATGATTTCTTCTGATTTATTGTTTATTCATGGACATTTTCGTTTATTATTTCATAGCAAGTTTTTGTTTATTCGTGAGAATTTGTT